ATCAACATGAGTCTGATAAGAAGTTTTGGAAGGGGCAAGAAAATATACTTTTTGCCTTATATATCCGGGTAAGTGAACTTTGTTAACATAATAATGTTCCATATGTGATTTTAATATTTAATAGTTACGTTATTATGAATTTCAGGCGCCATTGGCAACTTCTTGTTATGTCTATGCAAGACAACTATGCTTTGTGGTTCTGCTCATTGCACAGGCCTCCTCCCACACAACTCAAACAAGCAATTGATTGGTAAGAACCTCAATGTTTGGACTTTCTTTGTTATATAAATGAATGCTAAAACCTTTTTTTATATACAGTTCTATTCCAGCAAGTATGATGATGGGTGGGAGATCAATTGTTAATAGTAGAAAGATTGCTTGGATTTCTCTCAAGGTTTGACATATGCTAAAGCCATACTTTGTTATAATTGTTTTATTTTAATGTTATTCACTAACTATTATCAACTGTGATGATATATTGTAGTGTAACAGACAAAATGGGTCATATGAGTGCGGATACTATGTAATGTATTGGATGACCCATATTGTTCGTTCTCACATCACAAGTCGCTGGGAAACGGTAATATTTAACTTTAACAACATTTGATTTTTTCCCAAATGTTGAATTCATATACACTAATTAATATGAATTGTCTTTTGCAGAGATTCAAGACTACTACACCAGTTCCTGAGAAGTCACTATTATTCATTAGGAACGCTGCTGCGAAGTATATAATTAGATTATACAATAGCTCTTAGATTTAAACATTGCATTTGATTAGATTGAATTTTCTTAGACTTTGTACTTTATTTGATGTTGAAATACATTTGAACATGTGTTTGTTATGTTCAAATTGAATTTGTGTACATGTTTTTATATGCAGGTCTGTTTTTGTGGTAGTGGATATCACAAAAACAGACCTGCAATTTTAAAAAACTGCAGGGGAATATGCCGCGGTTGTAACCACAACCGCGGCATATAGTGTTTTGTTTTTTTTTTTAATGAGACATATGGCCGCGGTTAGTAATAGAACCGCGGCATATACTGACCGCGGCATATCGTGGACAAATTTTTTTTTTTTTAAAAAAAATGGATTTAGGCAGCGGTTCCTTGGACAACCGCGGCATATTCCGCAACCTATATACCGCGGTCATAACTGCGGCCTAAAGTCTCTGACTTACTACCGCGGCTGAATAGGCCGCGGTTCGTAAACCGCGACGTATAGTGAAAAATAACCGCGGTAAAATTCCCTCGCTGCACTAGTGTAAAAACCTAAAAATTGATAGTATATAGTTTAAATATATTGTTACAAAGTGCATCATTTGTCTTGTGGTGAAAACTAAGTCCGTGGAGTCACATAATGGTATATGACTATTTACATTCTTAAATAAAAAAAATTACGTTCTAACTAATGACAATAACTTTTAGTCTAATGGCAAGTGTTGGAATTAATTTAAACATTAATTGAGTGGTTAAGTAGAAGGAAATGGATTAATTCAAATATTACTCTTTAAAAGAATTTAGTACTTCAAAATTATTTTAGGAATGATTCAAATTTTAAAAAACAAATTTAACAGTTTATTAGTGTTGAGAAAAAAACAATAAAGGAATATATAAGAAGGAAACAGTGAACACAAAAATTTATAGACTCATGATTTTTTCCAAATTTATATGTAACAAAATTTACTTAAAAAAGGAACACAATTATATACATTCTACTATAAAAGAGTATACAACAAACTAAATATGAAGCTTGTTAAAAATATATCTAGAAACCACTATTTATAAATTTAAGTACATTATCTCTTATCTAGTCTCAGGTATTGAAAAGTAATAAAAAGTCTGTAGTATTTTGAATATTAATCCTGTTAGCCTCTTTAATTATTAAATCATTTTAAAATTCGTTAAATGTTATGTTGCACATGATAAGTATAACTGGAAACAGTGTATCTAATTATATTATGTTTGAAAATCCAACCGAGAGAAATATTTAAAAAATCTTTATTGGTATATCAATGTGACATCATTTTTTAATAAAATAAACCTTTGGAAAGTAAGTTTTACAGTCTTTCTTTGTTTTGAAAAGAACTGGAAAGATAACCTAGAAATGGAAAACATCGATACCATCAAAATGAACCCTATAAGAGATACTTCAAACAGTTAAAAACTTACAGATTACTTGAAATTATTAACAGTACATTAAATATTTTTTACAATAGTAACAACGCATTATTAGTATAAAAACTTGTATATTCTCGATTCATCAGATATCATCAGCGGTGATTGAATAAGATTCAGTCCACAATCTTTTCTTCTATTTTATACGGATGAAAAGGAAAAATGATACATGTTTTATTGTATTATACTCAAACAGTAGGCACTTATTCAAATTGATGCAATATAAGCAACGATTTAGAAAAAGTCTGACAACACACATACTGACATGCTCTTTTTACATTATTAAGATGTCGTATAAATACAATAATTTATATAATAGTTTGCACAATAACAATCTTTTTTAAGAAAAACATTGCGCAAATTATTGTATAAATTATTGAATATTAATGATCTTGTGAGTAAAATTTATTGAAAGGTATACAAGTTTATGAGTCGGATTGAATGATTATAAGACCTGTGTCTGACTCATTTTTGTAACTTTTTCAACAAATTTTATCCAAGAATAAAGAGCATATTAGACAGAGTGATGAAAGACTTAGTGAATTATTTAAGGATATGTGCCGTAATAAATTGGCCTGAATCTTCAGGTCAGAAGGCGCTGCACACCCTGATTTACTATTCCTGCGGTGAACCTGTTGGTCTTTTCTGTTCCATGGAGTCCATCGTAAAAGCGGAATTCATCTCTATTGCTGCAGGGTATTCCATTTGGAATACACGTCTCATTTCGCACCGTTGGGCAGCAAGGAGTATCCGCATCAGTGAAACCTGAAACACACGGACCATTTAGGTTCAACTTGTAATCCAGAATGTGAAATGGAGAGAGAGAAAACGGGAACTGGTACCAGTGTTGGTTTCGCTGTTTACGACCACGAATTTGGCTTTAGAAGATAACTTGTTTTCATTCAATCGCTCCACTTCAGATTTAAGCTTTCTGTCGAAAAGTAACGCAGCATCGTTCAGCTGTTGAGCACAACCTCTACCTTCTCTTGTATACGTAGCTCTGGCAAATGGATTGCATCCAATGTGACCCAGTGTAAAGACAAGGAATTTTCTTGCCCCGTAGTTGTCATGCAGTGTCTGTTGCCCACAATCATGTTTTTTTAGTTATATATGTATATCATCATATTAAGGCGTTTTCATCTAATTAGTTGGAGCTGGATTCAACGTTACAAATAATTTGTAACAACTACTACTATTCTTATGAATATTCCAAAAATATTACGTTATTTAGAAAAGTATTTTTTAATAGTTTAATGCTTCTAAAATGTATAAACTTTCTTCGAGTATATCTGGGGTGGTTTGTGATAAACTTTTTTACTTAAATAGAAAAAGAAATAGAAATCAGTATAAAACACCTTCAGATATGAAGAGTAGCGTCTAACAAGATCTGCAGCATATTGATCGGGTGTAAAGTCGCGTCTTGTTGGGGAAGAGGGGAGGAAGTAATTGCCGTAGTAATCATTGGTTCCTATTTTCATGTAATACACGCACTTGCCAAGGTGCTTTTCAGCTTTTTTTGAATTTCCAAGTCTCCTAACAATTCGGTTATATATGTCTCCGTGATTTTGGATCTGTCTTTCCAAACTGATAATGTCACCCTGCGATGCGTACGTAATAGTAATTTAGTGGCATTGAAATAATCCTCCAAAAAACATATTATATAAGAATGGATGATATAAAAATAATACTCTTTGGGAGCCTGTCTCAGGGCGAATCCCTCCTGCAGCAGATGCATAGTTGACACCCTTGAGTATGTCTGAGCCATCGGTGTCTGCATAGGGTGGGATGTCCGGTAACCCTTGACGTTCAGCTGCAATTAGTAAAAGTGTGGATTAGTGTTAAAAAAATGTTGAATTAAGAATTGAGAATGTTACTTACCAACAAAGTCAGCTTCTATTCGTCCATTGGTAGCTCTTCCTGTTGGGTTATTGCCTTGTTTGTAGTCGATGCCATATGGACTGTAATTGGCTTTTGCGTTTGTGGCGCGGTTGTTGTTATTTCCATTTTCAGAGTAAGAGTCCCCGAAGATATACATGCAAGGCGCTTGCGAATTTCCATGGACACACTGTTGCATGCAGTTTGCAGCCAACAGAAAAATGGACAAAACCACCCATGACTTAGTCTTAGCTCCCATCATCTCCATCTATTGATCTTGGAAAGAAAAACTGATAATGATCAAAGCAATGTGTGGGAGTATATATATGGGGTGGGGTGACAGTTTTTGTGTCCAAGTTGCATTCAGATTTTTTCAATTCAGTTTTATTGGTTTTAAGATTAAAAGAAGGATGAAAACGAAATTAACTTTTACATGTATAAATGTTATACAAATATATTTTTATTAAAATTAATATTTTAATTAAATATTTTTAAAAAAACTAAATTTATTTATATTTATATTTTGCATTGAATTTTATTTAAAATTATTTTAAAGTTGTTAATATAAAGTAGTGTTAACAGAAAAAAAAATTAACATTAATTTTAACAAACAAATATGTTAAACTTATTTATCAATTATATTTCATAAAATAAAATAAATTTATCAAAATTTTCAATACTTTTAAATAATTGTATATTTTAAAATAGAGCTGTTAAAATGGGTCACAACCCGCGAGTCAATCCGGTCCACCACAGGTTTGAACCGGGTTGGATTTAAAAATATTATATATTTTTTATGTGGGACAAATTTCAACCCGCTCATTTAAATCTATCTCATGTTGAACCTGTGGTAGACTGGGTTGGCCCACCAACCTACCTACCTAATTTTATTTTATTAAAATTTAATTTTAATTTTATAAAAAAATATTTATTATTTTGTTTTTGCTAAAAAAAATTATTTAAGTTCCTTATTTTCAAAATTAATTAAACACCCGGATTGAAATTTGTTTAGATTTAAATTATAAAAAGTTTGTAATTTTTTTATTTAAAAAAATTATAATTAAGTGAGACAGTGAGCCAACCCATTTACCCACCAACCCATAGTGGGTCGGGTCGAGTTTGAATTTTTTTGGCTTGCTAATAAATGAGCCACATTGGATTGATTCACTAAGTGACCAACCCGTGGTGGGCCGGGCTGAGTCGGACCGAGTGACTCATTTTGTATAAATGTTTAAGTTGGTTTAAAAATAACATTTTTACAAATTCAAATATAAAATTTTAAAATGATTTTAAACAATTATTTAACCATTCAAAACAAATAAATTTAAAATTTAAAAACAATTTTAAATAGAGTTTAATATAAAATATAAATATAAACAAACATAATCTTTTTCAAAATATTTAATAAAAATATTAATTTTAATAAAAATGTTTCTATAACATTTATATCAAATTAAATTTTAAAAAGATGATAATTTCATTTAAAAAAAATTAATTTTAAATTGAGACAGAAATAAAAATAAAAAAAATAAATTAAAATGAAGGTAATGTTACGTAACATGTAACACTATCACTGTTACATCGTATTGTTCTTCTTCTATGGTTTGTTAGTTTTAAAAAGGCTTAAATGCTTATTTCGTCTTTATGTTAAAAGGTGAATTTTTGTTTAGTACCCGGTTTTAAAAATGAAAACATTGGGTCCCTATGTTATGAAAAGTATATGAATAAAGTACACAAAGAAAGAACAAGTTCAACAAATCATCAAAGAAAAAACTGAACAAGAGAGAGAAAAAGTTAGACAGCAAAAGAGATAAAAGAAAAAGTACGGTCACATCAGCATGGACTTAACGTCGTTGCTGTCAACTTAATGGATAAGACCTTATTCATACACATTTTCATGACATAGGGACCCAATGTCTTTATTTGGACGAAGTAAACATTTAAGCCTTTTAAAAATAATATTAAAAATTAATTAAAAAGAAAAAGAATTATAAAGTAGAAAAACTATAAAATGATATGGGATACATTTTTAATTGTGTTAGTGCAATTTTAAAAAATAAAACTGATAATATAAATTTTTTAAAATAAAAACTAAATTGATACAGATAAAAAGAAGATATGAATTTGAAATTTTTTTATACACTGAAAATAAATGGAATGCTTTAACCTAATTAATATTATTGCTGGCACGTGGAGTTTGGCAAGTTTTGGTACAGATTATTTAAGTTTTATAAGTGCTTTATTTATATTACATGAGCTGTTTTAGCTTCTTTTCTCAATTTTTCTTTACTGATTTATTACTCTACTTATCTATAATTAACCTATATTTCTTTTATCTATGTATAGTCAGGAATGTCAAACCGAAGAATTGAATAATTTTTTTTAGTTGAATTATAAAAAATATTAAAAACTACTTAATTCTTCAAGGTATGCTTGAATTTGCTATGTGTAATTTTAACAAGTTCCTGTATCAGGGTTATACTAACTTATACGTACATTACTTTCCATGAATGTGATTTAATATGTTGAAAATCTCACTTTTCTAAAACTGAATACTACTATGTAGAAAAATAGTGTTAAACCTATTAGAATGATATTAATGCATAAATGTTATGAAATTATCTTTCCTAGCTAAAAATAAATATTATTCAAGAAAAAGTTTCAAAAGAAAAAGTTATTTTGATTTAACATAAAAGTTCAAGACATAAATTGTGACAATTCCATTTCTTAATATTTCAAATAATAATAATAATAATATATTATAGTTTTAGTTCATTTATTATTTTTTTTATTCTTTATAAACAAAAATGTGATTTACAAGAAATACAATTATTTAAAATGTATATTCTTTGAATAAAAATTTTGAAAGATGCAAGTTGAAACAACTTGTTTTTTTTTCTCTTCTTAAGGATGTTTGTAATCCAAATCTTCTAAAATTGAAAATGTACAGAGTTAAATAGTGATAATTTCAATCAAATATTTAATAACGGTTAAAAATCAATTTTATGTTTTAATAAAAAAAAGTTATATTTTAAATTATTGAATGAACTAATTTAGATACCTTTGAATTAAAAAACCTTTAAACATGTAAAATGATACAGCTTGACATCTAAAAAAAACTAATATATATATATATATATATATATATATATATATA